GAAGCCGTGGAAATAGCTTGGGGAAATAGCTTGGGGAAACTTCGCTGGGAGGGAGCGAGACCGGATGCTCGACGGGATGAAGCCGGGGAAATAGCGTGGGGAAACTTCGCTGGGAGGGAGGAGAAACCGGATGCTCCGACGGGATGAAGCCGTGGAAATAGCGTGGGGAAACTTCGCTGGGAGGGAGCGAGACCGGATGCTGGACGGGATGAAGCCGTGGAAATAGCTTGGGGAAACTTCGCTGGGAGGGAGCGAGACCGGATGCTGGACGGGATGAAGCCGTTGGAAATAGCTTGGGGAAACTTCGCTGGGAGGGACCGGATGCTCGACGGGATGAAGCCGTGGAAATAGCTTGGGGAAATAGCTTGGGGAAACTTCGCTGGGAGGGAGCGAGACCGGATGCTCGACGGGATGAAGCCGTGGAAATAGCTTGGGGAAATAGCTTGGGGAAACTTCGCTGGGAGGAGCGAGACCGGATGCTCGATGGGATGAAGCCGTGGAAATAGCTTGGGGAAACTTCGCTGGGAGGGAGCGAGACCGGATGCTCGACGGGATGAAGCCGTGGAAATAGCTTGGGGAAACTGCGCTGGGAGGGAGCGAGACCGGATGCTCGACGGGATGAAGCCGTGGAAATAGCTTGGGGAGACCGGATGCTCGACGGGATGAAGCCGTGGAAATAGCTTGGGGAAACTGCGCTGGGAGGGAGCGAGACCGGATGCTCGACGGGATGAAGCCGTGGAAATAGCTTGGGGAAACTGCGCTGGGGGGAGCGAGACCGGATGCTCGACGGGATGAAGCCGTGGAAATAGCTTGGGGAAACTGCGCTGGGAGGGAGCGAGACCGGATGCTCGACGGGATAAAGCCGTGGAAATAGCTTGGGAAACTTCGCTGGGAGGGAGCGAGACCGGATGCTCGACGGGATGAAGCCGTGGAAATCGCTTGGGGAAACTTCGCTGGGAGGGAGCGAGACCGGATGCTCGACGGGATGAAGCCGTGGAAATAGCTTGGGGAAACTTCGCTGGGAGGGAGCGAGACCGGATGCTCGACGGGATGAAGCCGTGGAAATAGCTTGGGGAAATAGCTTGGGGAAACTTCGCTGGGAGGGAGCGAGACCGGATGCTCGACGGGATGAAGCCGTGGAAATAGCTTGGGGAAATAGCTTGGGGAAACTTCCTAGACCTTCATATGTACAACATTATGTGGTACGTGGGTCATTGGCCATTTGTACCTGAAAAATCTTTGGCCCCAAATGAGCGTGAAAAATCGTGAATTTCAGATGTCACAAAAAGGTCTTCGATCCTGTCATTTTATAGAAAACCCAGCCCGCCCGCCCAGACTGATATATTGCAAATCTAGACTTGCAGGTGTGTTTTTGCAATCTTTTTCACCGATATTGCTGCACCATTCCAAGCGTGCACATGTGAACGGAAGTTTCTCATCCAAGAATCCTTTTCTCGTAAATATGCATGTCCATGTCGATGTACGTATGTAGCATGCATATATATATATATATATATTCAAAAATATTCAAAACAAATATTTATGCGGGTCTAGGTTCTTGAAAACAATTCGAAACACAACAGCTGCAAAACATGTAGGCAATGTATAATCGGGATTAATTAATGTATCCATTCAACAGTATGTATATATATATATATATATTAATTTAAGGGATATACCATTGCACGTGCCTGGATCCACTCGTCGCGCCTTGCCATTCTCCAGTGGCTCAGCTAGCAATGGCAACTATAATAGAGAATATCAAAACTATTCAAAACTAGATAAACCATTCTCACAATAAAATTAAGCCCAACATCCACTGCAGTAGCAACATGTTAACATTCTCACTGCACCATGTGAAACCTTAGAATCGTTCCATCGCATGCTATGAAAATACATTCATGTTTAATCATCTCTAAGTATATATATATATATATAAATAAACAGACAGTATCCCACCACTTCAGGATCTTCTTCGGGGTGCTTCAAGATGGCATGCTTTCCCTGGCGGTTGGATGAGGTGCATGCTGCTCTGTTCTGTGCGGGCCGAATTTACAACCATTGTAGGGGGTTACATTATGCAAAGGTACTGTTGTCTGAATGGGAAACCATGGGAAATGTATAAGTTGAAATGTCAACCCATATATGTCAACTCTTTGTGGGGATTTTCAACAGGTAAATAAATAAGTATATATATATATAAATTTAGATTCAGATAGATATATAGACAGACTAGATAGATAGATAGAATAGGTATATTTTTTACTATATTTGTTGAACAGGTACATATAGATATACCGATATCATGTATTGGAACTGAATGAAATATGAACCATCAAAAAAACAATTTGTTATTCCAGCATTGATCGGAACTGCAGGCTGTGGCCAACCAACCCTGATCCAAGGTGAAACCATCGCTGTCTTTTGGGCTCATGAAAGGTCGGATGGCGTATGCAGCCATGTCGTGGCATGACGATGATGAGATGGAAGAGGTGTTGGAGGAGGATGCAGAGCCACCGTCAGCATCTGCAGCCGCAGGCGTGCGGCGGCCTCGGAGCCCTGGTCCTATTGGACATGCACGGGTGAAGTCAGCACGGGTGGGCGGCACTTGGAAACAAACAATTCAGTTCCTGAGCAGCATGTTTTTTTCGTTTTCAATCAGCATTTTCCTAAAGGGATATGTTTTTGGGATTCTTTGCATTGCATGTCGTGTGCCATGATATGAGTTTCCTACTTATATATCTGTATATATATATATATATTTTTATTATTGTACACATACATATACAAATATATTATACATATATATACATGATAGATACATATTTTTCACTTCTTCTATTTTTAAGTATATGTATATTCTTCACACTTAAGCTCCGACAGATAGGGTTGATACTGAAATCAATATATATATATATACACAGTAAACCCCATGAAACAATATCCTTCACCCCACGTCCACCGGTGTCTTCCAAGGAGAAGTCTGCTGCTGCACATGCAAAGCAGTCGATGTCGCATGCTGGCAGCTCGGAGGACTTCCCTGGAAGATGGGGGTTTCCTGGTGGTAGTGCCGAACCTCGGGGCTTTATTAAGAAACCTTTTTTTTGGTCCACAACCGTTTTTTTCAATTTTGCCTGGAGGGATTTGGTTTCTAAGGATTTTTGATGCGTTTTACTTGCATATCCCAGGTACTGAAAATGAGACCAAAGCCACTCCCGCGTACTATTGGAAATGTTGAGATCCCCGAAGCCTTCAGATTCCAGTACGCGGTGAACCCCCAGGACCACGGTGGGCGGACAACATTGCGCCTCCCGTCCAGCGGAGCCAGCTTCTTGCATGCATTGTGCAATGATATCTCATTTCTTTGTGACATATATGGACAATATCATTTCCCTTTCGCACCTGAGGGGCCAGATATTCGCCTTGAAAATTGATGCATTCTGATTTGCAACGCCCATGACATATGTCTTGAAATCTAAGGACGCTTACCTGGTGATGGTCCGGTCGACGGGGAGCGATTCCAGAAGATCTTGGAGACAGGCTTCGATCAGCCCGAGGATGATGATGGAGATCCGATTCCATTTGTCCAAGCTGATTCACCGGTCACCCCCAGGAGCTTCTTGGCTTATTTATATATATATATTTTTTTTTATTTTTTTTTCACAGCATCCATTATGCATTGCATAGAAGGTTGCGCTATGAGCCATTCTCATCCATTTCGTTCTGAAACTAAGTCTGGAAGTATGAAACGACGATGGATGAGGAGGAGCAGCAGCTGATCCTGAAAAGTGCCTGGGCTAAATTTAATTTTTTTTTGCACCTGGAATTTTAGCATCAGATGGAAGTGCTGGCATGTGAAATTTCATCACATGGTTTCTGGTGATTTCCATGCACTTGCTCTGAGATGGGCATCCGGACTTTGTGCTTCGGGAGCAGTACAAGAAGGTGTGCATGGAGAACACCAGTCGTGGGCGCATCAATCGCTCGCGCTATGAAGCGTTTCGGCTCCACGGGTCTGCAGTGGATCCTGGGATATGCATGAGTGATCAATATTTTTTCATTAGCTTTCTGAATATTTTGTAGTTGTTGTGTATTCTGAAGGTAGTACCTTTTCAAATGCAATTTCCGTGCATGCTAACATATCACAAATGAATTTCTCCCCATGGATATTTTGCCACGAAAAATGTTTGGTTTTGATTTGTTTTTTGAACTGAACCCTGCCTGCTGCAGGTCGCACATACCCAACGCCTGATCGACATCAACACAGCGCCTGGCCAGTTCAAGGATGTCGCGCAGAGCCTGGATGCAAGTCAGGATGATGGCACTGCTGATGCAGGATCTGGTGCGAGCAGGCCATAAGTGCCTGATATATCATATCATCTGGCCGGATACAAAATGTTGAGATCAGAAATGCAGAGATACATATCAGCGCATGGACTTTGAAGTCAAAAAAATCAAAAAGGATCACGGTCTCGGAAAGGGCCCCTGCATATATGGCAAAATTTTAACGGTCAAATTGAAGACATATTGAACTATAAGAAAAAGTCATTGCGTTGAGGATTGCAGATATCTGGAATTTAACATGTGAATTAAATTATCTCAAGATACCTCTCCAGAAAATCTAAGGGAACATCTTCAGTCGAACACATCCATTTTGATTTTAAATTCCAGAAAATCAGCAGTAGCTGCAGCCTAGAAACCGCACAGCTAGGACTGCATGCGCAGATCGGTGTGAGGTGGGAAAAAAGGATTGGCATGTGCTGTGAACCAACACTTTTCAGAGAGCTTTGATCTGTGCATGATATGTTTTTGTGTATACAAATATCTGTGTGCATGATGCAGGTGCTGTGGCGGACTTCGACATCATCATTCAGTTGAGATTCAGCCGAAATACAGGCCCGGGTGTGTTGCATTTATTTATGAACAGATTTCTGTGATTGGCTTCAGTGTGATATATGTATATGCCATTGATTTCATGCGGTATCTTCAGACAGGTGCTTCATCCTGAACTTTGACATCACGGCTCTGGACAAATTCTGTTTGGTGAGGCGTGGGTCTAATGGGACCCTTGTTCAAGATTGATTTGCATAATATTTGCATATGCGGTATCTGTTTGATTATTGCATCGATATTCGTGCATATGTTTGATTTCCCTTTGATTGCGCAGGTGTCTATCAGCGCTATATGGCCCTCTCGATCTATTCTTGACCTGTGCCTCGCCTTAATTTGATTTAGGTTTGGGTGATCTTGGTTGTGTTGTTGCAGCTGCATGGCTTGTTGATTTTGTCACACTGTGTGAGCTCCATGTTGTGGATTCAAGATATGTTCTAGCATGCCTGAATCTGAGGCAATGCGACTATGGCAGGTGAAGCAAGGTGCCGTCCCCATGCCCTGCAGCTGCCTGGTCAATCGTGCGCACATGCTGCGTTGCAACATGGCAGCCTTGGTTGCAGCCATTTGGGCTCTGGGTGGGCATATGTATAGGTTGAAATGCGTGGATAAACAAACATATCTGGCAATGTTTCCACATAATATAACATATATAAATAAAATGAATCGAGAGAGAGAGAGATATATATATATATATGTATTATATGATGGATATATATATATATACCTTGCTTTTGAAGGGGAAAAAGGATACAGTGAGTTACTGTGGGTATGGACTCCATCGGGAACTATTGAAATCACTTGCCTATTTTTAAATTGCAGAGTTTGGGCAATGCCTTCGAAGCCATGCCCTGGCCTCATTCAGGGGTATTTGGATCAGTTTGGCAGATTTCCGGAGTTGCGGCAGCGAGGCTTTTCCTTTTTGATAGACTGCTCGGGACGGCTGTTCACAGCGAAAAAGCCTTCCTTAAAGGACATCGAAGGAAATATTGAGGCCGCAGAAACTGTGGGTAAAATCTCTGTATATTGTCATGCTTTTAAGAACCATGTGGTTGATATACAGACTATTTTGGGTCCTTTTTCACCTTGAATATGGGGACCCGAAACAGTTGAAAAAGGGAACCTTCAAAACAAAGCTACAAGGGGTCATCAACTTCTCCTTGCACTTGGACCCTGCAGGCAATAGAAGCAGTCATGCTTGCGACTCGTGGCCGTGGCAGGTTTTCCAGCCATGTTCTCAAGGAGTGCATCTTGACCTTCTATGAGCATCACCGTCTGTGGCCCACTGGAATTGTCAGAGCTATGGCCTGTGTGGATGCATGGAGCCTTAAATCGGGGCTTGCCCTTCAACGACTCGCTCCTTGGGTGCGATAGATAACTTTCCTGGAGATTGTTTCTTTAAGTGATTCTCGATATTTCTCGATCTTTTCTGTGGATCAATCTTTTTTGGGGTCTACTAAAAAAAATATATATACATATACATAACCACATATAAGTGTATTGTTACTATGCATAGGTATATATGTATATATGCATAGCTATGCATAGGTATGCCTTATAATTTTTCCCTTCCTATGTTGTTCTCAATATGTTATATCCGTTCCCTTCAATCTGGCTCTAAGGTCAGCAGGTTTCGGCGTTTGGCCCAGCGATCCAAGGGGGCACAGCAGCCGAAAACACAGAGTCTTAAGGACCGACTGCGATACATCATTGATGCTTGGTTGCATACATCTGTGATATTGTGTGTTTGTCTGTGTGTGAAACTCGATCTATTGGATTTTGATACTTGGGCTTTCCTGAGGACTGGTCATCGAAGCATCCCGATGATATCGATGATGAATCCCAGGAAGAGGATGCGGTGGCTGCATCTGACACGCTGTCCGAGCTGAGCGCCCCTGCAAGCTCCAGCAATCTGGTTACCCCTCAATGCAAAGGTGACCAGCGGCTGAAGAACATCAAGCTGCAAATGGCAGATTGGGATGCTTTGCAAACCCCGGTCAAACAACGTGAAAACCATGTGAAGTCTTTGGCTGAGGAGTTAAAGAAAGCAATGGATGAGGCCAAAGGGACTTCCGTGAAAGAATCTGCACTAGTGCCAGGACAACTCCCTGACCATGTGACTTAGCTGCATGTGCTTTTGTGGCTCTCGTCTCCGTTTTTCTGAACTTCCATTGCCCACAGAGCATTTGTATAATGTTTGATCTTTTACACACGAATGCTGGATATATTTCTATGTGCGACATGTTCACCCCTTTTTTCTCATCCTGAGGTACTGAAAGTCATGGAGGCCCAGGCTGCTTCGCTACCAAAGCCTTTCCCTCAAAGTGCCCAATACAAGAACTCCATAGAAGATGCAGATGATGGGGAACGTGACACGCCCAATGAGAAGCCCACCAAGAAATTGCACAAGAAGAAGAAGAATGCCAAAAAACGTCCTCCTGCTCAGATCAAGCATGCAGCCAAGGATCCTAAACAGGATGAGCATCCAACCGACACCGAGATCAAGCCAGCAGCCGAGGATGAGACCTACTCCCCTACCCGGTATGCAGAGCTTAGGAAAAAATTCATAGACGACAAAAGGTCGGGTGGCATGACTTGGCGAGATGCCAACGCTGAGTGGAACAGTAGTGACTTGAAGCGCCGCCTTCTTTCTTGCGTAGAATTGTCTGAGCTGAAGCGGCGCAGGTTTGTCCCAAAGGAATGTGAAGCAAACCCATGGGCATCCTGAGGTATATTTGTACATAGCTACCTCTTTACTTTAAATTTTATAATATGTATATGACATGCATTTATTATTGATATATATATATATTATTTGGATTGTGTATCCACATATCTCTCTGCACTGCATGGCAAGAAGCTGTGATTCATCAGGGTGGCTTCCATGAACCGAAAGGACAATTTTCAATTAGCTGTCTCAATTCGGAGGGTGAAATTCACGACCTTCACACATATGGAAGGTGGTTCTTAATGGCCCATCTTGATGATGTGTGCGCTGGCGCTTTAGTGGAAAAAAGCCAGGGCTGTCGAGATCTGAGGTATGTGGGTCACCGCATGCTGTGAACAATCAAAAGTTGGGAGACTCATTGGCAGTTTCAAAACCAAGGGGATCTGATGTGTTTGCTATGTATATATAATGTGAGTGGCGTGAGTGGCTCTATAGCAACCTAGCTGGCTGCAGCTGTGTGCTGGCTGTCTGAGCGATGGTGGTTGCCGAGCTTCTTCGTTGGAGAGCCCCAGCATCTCTCATGCTGCTGTTGGTGGCGCTTTCGCAGAACCCTGTCCTTGTCGCACCTCCAGCCCTCGTGCCCAATGACTTTGTGGAGATTTTTTCTGGGGATGCTGCGGTGACTTTGGCATGCTGGGACCGTGGTATGGTTGGAAGCTGCCATGACATTGCTTACACGTCCCTGATGGATTTGACCACCACCCATGGGTTCCTGCTTCTTATCTGGAATATCATGTTGGATTTTTTCAAGGAACAATTTCACAAACTATGATTTGTTCAGAATGCACGGGTGTGCCATATGCATGGTGTGCGTCTTACCTAGCTGCGTGAGGCTGGTGTGCCGAGAAGTTTGGAACACAAAACCTGGTGGCATGTGTCTCATTGGGATTTGCTGCAACTCCTTTACCAGGATGTGGCTTGGTTCCATATATTTGGATGGACAATGGACCATTCACCAAAAGCAGCTGTGCAACACTATATATTTTATATTATATTAATGTGTATGTGTGTGCATCCTGCTTTAAAAAATTTGACCCAGGTCGAGTCACACAGCCGGCCGGGACTGCTTTAACTCCTTCCTGGGGAACCAGGGCTACTCCTTCGTGGCGACAGGGAACTTGCTGTGCTCGCGAGTGGAACTGATACTTTGGATTTGCCTTGCTCGCTCCATTCGATTTGTGGTTGAGCAGCCTGAAGGAAGCTCACTTCCAAATCACCCCAGAATGCAAGAGATCTTCGCATGTGCTGTTGTTACCTGGCCGTCTTTTATTTTGAAACAAATTTTGACACCTTAAATTTGTGAGCCACTTTTTGACCGGGTATACATATATGGCCCACATTTGTCTTGAATCAGGTGTTCTCTGGATCGTTCTGGATGGGTGCATTTAATGGTGCTACAGCGAAGAGACACAGGTTGTGGTCCAACTGCAAGGAGTTGTTGAAGGAAGTGGTCAGAAGAGGCGAACACACTTGAATCTGTCTATCCAATTGCAGTGCATGAGTCCACATATTTTTTCTTCACTTATTGTTTCTTTGCCATCTTGCAACTGAAGTGTCAGGTGGGCATCTTTCAAGGGAAGCCCTTCGCTCCCTGCCTGGATCTGCGGATGGGCTTGTTCGCAAATACATCGACAAGAAAGGTCGTCGCCGGCATGCTGGGATTGCAGCTAAACTTAAAAGCAGCCAGTGCCTTGGCTGTGACAGATTTTTGCTCGTACACCCAGTGTTAAATTTAAAGCTCATTTTTTCAAGTTGATGTGTGTAGAGCCAAGGTCTTACACTGCTGACTTTGGCAAATGCATCGCAGATGTGGCAACGACCCCGCTGCAGGAGAGATGGCTCAATTGCTCTTGATCTCTTGATGGATTTCGCCTGGTTGTGTGTGTGTGCAGTATAGATAGATAGATAGATATATATATATATAATTATACCAACATATATGTATGCATAAATTAGGTATAATACAAGACAATTGCAATATTACTATTTGCCATTATTTGCCCTTTATCAGCCTTATAATTTGTCGAGGAACCATTACCTGGGCCCAGAGATCCCATGGACTTTGACTGGAAGCTTGGAGATGCAGAGCTATTCACTCGTTTCTTCTGCCCCATTGCGCCTTCTGTGAATTGCCTCGGAGACCTTTGGCTGGATGTAACTTGTTTGCAACCATATCTGTTGCAGTGCTTGGTAATTTTCCCTTTGGTTTGGGATTTTGGGGTGCGCCTTTTTTCTTTGTTTTTGGGACCATTTTTGGACGCAAAAAGTCGCCCTTCTTAACCCCTTTCGAAGTGTCAATCCAATGGGAAAATGAACAGCAGTGCAAATGCACCCACCTAGCTACCATCGATCTGTCGAGCCTCGCATGAGGCGAAGCTTCCATTGGCCCTCCGATATCTTGCTGGATGCCGACATTTCCAACCACGTGGGCGATGGGTCAGGGACCTATATAGTTTAAGTGTCGTGAAAAGATCAGGTATAGTTCACTGTGTTATGGTGGCCCATTTCCCTGGCAGCTCAGGCCGAAATTTTTGAGAGACTTGACTTGAAGCATAGCCTGAAAGGCTTTTGAAAGGTTCTCAACTGAACTTTGATGAAATTAAAGGCAGAGTGTGCGATTTCACATTGCTGCCATGTAGATCATGTTGCAACTGCATCTGGCAGTGAACGCTGCTACCGTGAAAAATCGTGAAAAGGCCGTGAAAAAGTAGGTGATGAGCGTGAAAACTCCGTGAATTTCGTGAACGGAAAATCAGCACATTTGAGTGGAATTTTTGAACATGCCGTGAATGGCGTGAACGTGAACTTCACAGGGACAAATATTACTGCAGTTCCGTTGAAATCGTACATGTTTGTGCCTGCCGGCATTTAAGCACAATTTAGGTGGATTTTGAAACGGGTGACCATGGCATCTCCCTTGTGCAATCTGCCCTTTCCCATCTCCGAGCTGACATGGGAGAAGTTTGACCAGGTCAAGAAGCACTTGAAAGTTTCGAAGGCGGAATGCTTGACGATCATGTGTCATGTGCTTGGTCCACCTCCAGGGCCTTTGACAGCCACTTGGTCATATTATATCGTGGCCTCCGCAAAAATTCCATCAATCCGTATTTATGCAAACAAATGCATGCTAATAGTGGGGTCCTTAGGGCATAATATATTTGTACTATATATATATATTATATTTTATATATATATATTTGTATATATCGATGTTTGTTGTTTTTCCAAACCTTTTCCACAGCCATTCGCCCATGTCTGAGGATGCTGCTGCGGAGAAGAAGCCGAAAAAGCCTCGAGCAACCAAATCGGCTGCTGAATCTGAACCAGTGGACAAGAAGGACCTTCCAGAAGATGATTATGATGGGATGAGGTGTGTTGATGTGACGCCTGCTTATCTTAAGGCGCAGAATGCTGCTAAGACGAAGCCACGGGCAGCAAAGTCAAAGGCCTCTCCCAAGTCTCCCACGCCCAAGTCGAAGGGGAAGAAGGCACAGCCATCGAGCAGTGCCAAGAGCAAGTCAAAGAAGGTGAAGAACACCGAGAAGTTGAAGGAGCCTTCGAATTCCTCAAAGGGCCCCGGGAAGAAGAAAAACAAAGAGAAGAAGGAGAAGAAGGACACCGTGCCCATGGAAGCGATCCCTGAAGATCTTGAGGTGGAGTTGGAGGATGAGCCCGAAGATATGGGATCCCAAGCCGCTACGGAACCTTATGTGGCCCCAGCTGCAGATGGTGTGGTGACCAGGAAACGCAAACCTTCTGTGACCTCAACGTTGGAAGCTGTGAACTTTGATGGCTCCACCCTCAAGACCCCGAGCAGGGATGCAAAGCACACCAAATTTGCGCCTACGGTCGTCAGCCCTCCTGCTGCTACTGAGTCTCAGGAGTCTGTGTGGCCTTTTGACTGCAAAACAAAATCGAAATTTGTTCAATTAAGGGCAAACACCAATCTCCAACCTATGTTGTCCTATAGTTTTACATGGGCCACAAAACATATTCGAATACACAATACATTTCAATTAAGTATGGGTCGGGTTAATTTATTTTTCTTTATTGTTGCAATTCTGATGGTCATATTCTGATTTGCGGCCCGCAATATAATTATATATAATATGGGTATGTCTCAAATTGAGGTGCCCTTTTCTCCTCTTTAAAGCAAACATTTGGGGAAACAAAAACCATCCCAAAAAGTACCCTAAAATTAGTGGTGTTTTTTGGGGGCCAAAAAGGGCAACACCAGAGCCCAAGGTCATGTGGAACCCTTCAACGGGCGATTGACTTTGTGACTGCGCAGGGCCCAGCCAAGACAGCCAAGAACCTGGACAAAGATTTTGATTCGCTGTCGACGGCAACCACCATCCAGAGCCTTGGTTAATAATCTGTGGTGCTTGGGTTGGGCGGGGTCAAGCATAATCAAATCTCATGCTTTCAACCAACCGGATCTTTTTATTCAGCATATATATATATATGTATCCAAATTCTTGACCTCATGCGAGTGCATGTACATGGATCCTACATGCATGCAACTGTTTGAACGGGTTTCCCACTGTATGATGTCAATGGGGCTTCTTAAGATAGATATAGTTGGATCGATTGCTTATATCTATACGTGCATATGTCGCATATGATCAATCCTGTTTCTATATACAGTGCATGCTGATCAGCCTCGAGGCTTGGTCAAAGCCAACCCGGTGATCTCCAAGGGCAATTGGCGGCTGCCTTGGCTTACATCAAGAAGTTGGAGGATACCCAGGTCCGAGCAAATGCTCCTAGTTCTCCTGGCTCCCTTCGCCGTGCATCTCATTTGGATCCTGGGATTGCATATAGCACACATTATATGCCCTATCTACACTTATATAATATATATATATTAATATTACATAATTATTTTATAATACAACATACTATTTATGTTATATTGTATTATATATATATATATATATTACATCCAGATACTTTTTCAATCCTATCACCCCGTGTTTCTGGAAATAAACAAATTGAAATTGCTAGCTTGATTTTCGACATTGCCTTGCAGGATGTGGCGGACACCGTGCCCGAACCAACGTTGCCAGATACCATTCCTGGAGACCTTGATTCTGTGCCTCAGGATGCTCAAGGCCAGCCTGAAGATCAACAGGTCTCTCCTGCTGGTGACGATGGGGCTGCCAAAGCTGCGCCGATGTCTGATCAGCATCCTGGTGGCGATGGCAATGTTGCGAAGGCACCTGCTGAGCCTGACAAGCAGAGCTTGCCACCGAATGATCCTGCCGTTGATGGTGAAGCCCTTGATGACCATGAACTTCAAAGTTTGGCATCCACCATGAGCTTGGGCCCACCTTGGGAAACTGAGTTCTACCAGTACAAGCGGGAAGGTGATCAGTGGGTGAAATCGGTGAAGGAAAAGTACGCCTCTCTTGCAATTGCCCGGGGTTGGAAGCTTGGACCCATTCCTGCGACTGAAGACCCGGTGGTCAGATGTGAAGCACCCGTGCCAGCTCTGTCCATTCCCATGACGCCACCTCCGGGAGCTTTGCCTGCAGCAGCAACATTGCCTGCAGCAACTACGGTGGCTACGCCTGCAGCAGATGAGGTGGCTGTGCCTGCAGCAACTCCGGTAGCTTCTGCACCAACTACGGTGGCTGTGCCGGCAGCAACTGAGGTGGCTTTGCCTGCAGTGACTGCGGCTATGCATGCAACAGCCGAGGTGGCTATCCCTGCAGCAACTCCAACTTCGGTGGATATGCCTGCAGCAACTGAGATGGCCTTGCCTGCAGAGATCACGGTGGCTATGCCGGCAGCAGCTGAGGTGGCTATCCCTGCAGCAACTCCAGCTTTGCCTGCAACTACGGTGGCTATGCCAGCAGCAGCTGAGGTGGCTATCCCTGCAGCAACTCCGGCTTTGCCTGCAACTACGGTGGCTATGCCTGCAACTGCTGAGGTGGCTATCCCTGCAGCCACTCCAGCTTTGCCTGCAACTACGGTGGCTATGCCTGCAACTGCTGAGGTGGCTATCCCTGCAGCAACTACTTTGGCTGAAGCAGCTCCGGTGGCGATGCCTGCAGCCAGTGCTTTGCCTGCAGCAACTGTGGCTGTGCCTGCTGCAGCCGCTGATGCGGGCACACTCCGCATAGATTGGACCACTCACAAAAAAGAAGGCATGAGATTGAAACGCCTCATGGAGGAGAGTGCCCATGGAGCTGAGCAGTTCCCCCACATGCACAAGCTCTGGCAGTCTGGACGTGAAGGGCAGAAGCAGCTCCTGCGGGACTGGGTGCTGAAAAATGGCGATGCTGGTTCC